GATGGGAGAGCCTGGGCCGGTGCTGCACTGACCACTGTGAGCCCTTGGACAAGTCACTTATCTGTAAGCCTTCATTCTCTCATTAAAATTTAGGACATTGGATTAGGCCCTTCTTCAAGTCCTAATATTTTTAAAACTCAAGAGCAGGCACATATTGATATGGTACCAGGTAGTCTTTGTTCTACACTGAATTGTAGGTATAATTTATGCATTTTTGTGTCCAGTCCAAAAGTTTGCATATTCACTAAAGAAGAATCAGTTAAGGGCCAAAAAGGAGAATCTGAAGGATTCAGAGCTATAGGATCTATTCTTTTTTATGTGAAAACTTGTAGCCAGGAAGTGGAGAAGCTTTATCTAAAAACTTTGCCATCAGGGGTTCATGGTGGTACCATCAGGTGGGTGCTGGTGAATTAGGGTGCTGGAGAGAGGAGGCTGTCCCAGGAGACCAGGTGAGGAGGTTGCTGTGATAGCTGAACCTACCAAAGAGCCTTAGAGGCATGAATGATGACGCCTTCCTTGATGTGGCCATGATTTTCTCTTGTTCATCAAAAGCCATGACTTGGACCATATATATTTTTTTTCCTGTGGAAAAAAGAAAATTAAGTGAAAATGCTTTACAGACTATCTTGTAGCAACATACATCTCAGGACGAATTAGTACTTTTAGAAAATGGAGTGAAAGAGACCTTGCCTGTGTAAAGGATTGAAGATCCACATGTCTTGGGAGAAGAGAGGCTGTTAATCTGCCATATCCACAAACAGCTTTTCTATAAAGACAACTGAAATTTCAAGCCTTTCAAAAGTAGAATGCATGGGGATGAGGTCACACATAAGCAGAATCTGAATTTTTGTTCCATCTAAGATGTCCCTTCCTAGGTCAGAAAAGAACCAAGAGGGAATGGTGGGCTGCAAGCCAGACGAATGAAAAGTAAAGATTTTCCAGAAGGGAGTGACCAGTCATATCACATGCGGCTGACGTGACTGGAGGTTGACACTGGACTGAGCAACATGGGAGATATAGTGACCACAATACAAACTATTTCTGTGGCTGGAGTGGGTTCAAACGAAAGCAGGTTGAGAAATGGAGAGGCACCAACGAATCTAGCTCTTTGAAGCTGTGTTGATGATTTGTTATTACACCAGCTGAATTGTGAAGGAGAATTTTTTTGACCAGAGAACAGCCTTCTTTGAGATCTGAGTGTACTGTAATTGCTTTTGAGGCCATGGAGAGTCAAAGTCATTTCGATTTAATCAGGAAAGCAGCTTCCTAGAAAGTTTACACTTTCTTCAAAGGGAGTCAATTTCTCTCATTTGACTGTCTCTCCTTTCTAACAAAATGCATTCTGAAGTACAATGCAAAGCAACCTAATGAAAATTCCTTCCCCTATGGACTTGCGGTTTACATACATTGAATTTATGTAACACATGCTTGTTGGCTTGATTAGATGCTGGGCAGGATCCCACAAGGAGAGAAATTCAGCCTAATACCCTCCCCTCCCTTGGCTTTCTGCCACCAGTTTCCTGAGCGCTTCCTGGAATGTCTGGTAACAGCTCTGGCTCCCCCCCCTACCATGTGGTGACCCTCATCTTGGAGCCATTTGGCTTCCAGGGTGGAAGATGGTGGGCAGGAGGGATGAAATCATTGTTTTTGCTTCAGTGTCCGCTTTTCCCGGGAGGACGTTCACAGCAAGGGATTCTGTATTTTTAGAATTAGCATGTTCTGTTTCAATGTTGTGAACGTTCATTTTAAACCTATATTTAGTGAAGGTTTAATTATCCAAGTAGGGAAACTAGTTTCAAGCCATCACCCCTCCTTTGCTCATCATAACAGCCCCCACAGATGAGAATGATACTTCCAGCTACACCTGACAACAGACAAGAACAATTCCACTGTTGGAGTTCGGTGTGAGCCCAGCATCAGGGAAAGCGTGTCTCAGTGTCCCCCAACTCTTGTTCACGGGGACCTTACTCCTGCACACACCCTCTGTGGGCCGGGCTGGTGGGGTTGGGTGTGCTCCACTGTGTGGGGACTGTCTTCTCGTTTCACACAGAAATCGTGATCAGATTTTTCAAGATAACACTCAGGTAGTGGAATCTGTTTGTGCCATTTATAAGTGTGTAAGATGTTGGGGAGATGTGGTCTGGATCATGTGATTCCTTGAATGTTTTAGCAACGCCATTCATGTCCTCATTTCATCACTCACTTCTGGCAGAGCCTTGTCCAAAGCCGTGCCTGCGGATTGAGTTGGGCCCGTCATGGGGTTGGCTTGAGGAATTCCAGGCTGACGCAGGTGTGGATGAGTTTGATGCAGGGAGGCCCCTGGTGGGAGAATGGGCAAGTGCCAGCCACTGGCGCTAAAAACGCTCTGAGACACAATATAGTATCGTGCACTCTCATTTACTCATTCAGCAAATATTTAATGATTGGCTTTGGAATAACCATGGAGCCTGGCACTAGTTTAGCGGGGGAGATGCTGATGAATAGAGAAAATATCCTAGTAAATGTATAATTACAGAGCGTGAGCTAGAAGAAAAGGAACATTTTATGCGTGTTTAACAAAGGAGCCTGAGGTGATTGGCTCAGCAAAGGGACATGATACTTGAACTGAGATCTATAGCAGGTCCTCAAATAATGTTGGTTCATTATAACGATGAGAAAAAAAAGAATTGATTCTCGGCTGTGGCCACTGTGTGGAGTGTGCACATTCTCCCCATGTCTTGTGCGTTTTCCCCAGGGGCTCCAGTTTTGTCCCACATCCCAAAGATGTGCATGTGAGGTTAATTGGCATGTCTGTATTGTCTCAGTGAGTGTGGTGTGTATGTGTGAGTGTGCCCTGTGATGCAAGAGTGTGCTCTCCAGGGTGAGTCCTCATCTTGTGCTCTGAGCTGCTGGGATGGGCCCTGGCCACCTGTGATTCTGAACTGAAATAAGCGGGTTGGAAAATAATGATCTTACATGTTCTTACATTAATCTCCTTTCACATTTATTTCAATATTTAATATTGAAGTGTTTTGGGTCTTGATTTAGAAGTTTGGTGATGTTCTCGTGACCAGAAATATGCTATAGAAACTTGTTGATATCAATTAGCCTATGGCAAAATTAGTTTGATCATGTGTTGTTTCACTTAAGGTCACAGTTTCCAAGGACCTATTGACGATGCTAAGTGAAGAATTACNAATTGGCAGAATAAAGAATTTGTTCACAAAGGTGAAAGGCTTTTTGAAACAACCAGTTGCCTTTCAAGTCTAAATTCCTGAGTAACTTATCTGAAAAATCTTTAAATATCATGCAGGAAGATTTTTAGAATTTGCAAAATTATTTTATTTTCTCCAGTCAATCTGGTTTGATTATGTTGAATTGGAGAACAGACAGGTCAAGAATGTAATAGATGCTAAAACAGTAGAAAATGAAGTGAGCTTATTGTGAACATGGCCTTTTTGCATTTTAAAAAAGATGATATTGTGTTATATTGAGAATTGTGGAATAGGAGAAGCGGGATCAGCCTTTTATACTTCTCAAATAGAATTTTCCTGGCCCCACACTCCCTCAATACTTGCCCCCAATTTTTAAAAAAGAAAACAAACCTTGCTTTCTTCTGGAATAATTTTATAGTTGTAGTTACCAAATCTTTAAGCATGAATGTGATAAGCAGTACAAATAACTTATTCTGTGGTGGAATGAAATGATTGAGAAAATTACAGGTTTCTCATTTGTTTTCCCTGTCCTCCCTACTAGTTGAAGGTGGCTAGAAGGTTCTGTGTGTGGAAATCGGTGTTTCACTCTCTCCAGGAGAGAGCTAAGCTCCTGGAGCTGTTGCACTGGATTGATGCTGAGGGAAGACTAGAAAGTTCCAGGGCAGAGGTTGAACCACTTAGGATGTGGAAATGCTGAGACACCTCCTGCTCCCCCTCAGTGGTGGTGTCTGCTGACTAATAAGAAGCACTGTGTCTTTCAGAGGCAGGAAAAAGATCCCAGTGGGGGGGTGGATAACAAAGTTGACCACCATGGAATGAGACACACGGGCTGGATAATCAACTTCAAGGTTCTACAATCAGGATAGACAGAGGACCAGACCAGACGCCTTTCCCCGAATGGCTTACAAAAGCCCCAGTGTTACTACTAGTATGTTGGTGGGTGGGGTACTCGGTGGCTTGAAAATTACTGAGATTGGGTAGTCCCTCAATCCTAAAAGGAGAGGGCTCATTTAGTAAGAATAAGATCTGGGAATGTAAAGAAACATGACATTTCGTGGACCTGGGGTTTATGGAATCTATCTGTACCCATTACATTTGTTTCAAAAGCGTAAGTAGAAGTTCCTGCCTTCTTCCTTTATCTGCTTTACACATATAACCAAGGACAGATGATTTAGGTTCCCTTTTGGGCCAGGAGATTAAGTTCTATAAAGAGTTGAGAAAAGTCAACAATTTAACATAGAAAATGTTCACTAACTACTCTGTTAGGTAGGTGCTACCTGCTAGGTACCATGAGTACGAGGGGAAAAATGTGATTTCTGCCCTCGAGGAAGCAGGACCAATCCAAAGAACTTATAAATTATGATATATGAATGACATCAATAAAATGTCTGTATGATGGATGTGGTCAGGGCTGGGGCTAGGAGATCCACCTTAAAAAGCAGTGCAAAATAACTAGTTTTCAGTCATGTTTCATGGTGAGAAAGGGACATATTTAGGCCTAAGGAATTGGGAGGAAATGGAAAGAAATCTTATTTCTGTTCATCCACGGTGTCAGTTTCCTCATTATAAAACAGTCATGTAAAAAGCGGTTTAGTAGACAAGGAATCAGCAAGATTGTTTATTATGAAAACCTGGAGACTTAGATACAAATGAGGCTCATATCCTGAGGCTCACAGAATTTGCTAACATATTTATTCAGGAAAAGAACAGAAGATCATAACTTGAGGCAAAAAATCTAAATTAGGAAGAAAGTGAAATAAAAAATCTTGAGGTTTCCTTGAAGAAAATCAGATCTATATAGCTGAAGCCTGGAGTCAGCTAATATTATAGTTCAGAGAGTTAATATGCTCTATGCTAGAGAAACAAATGAATGTCAACCTTTCCCAGGAAGATGGAAGGAAATAATCATCTGATTATCTTCGACTGGAAGAAATAAATCTAACAACCTATACTATTCAACAACACACATTGCTTTTCAAGCCACTATGTCAAACCTTTCCCCCACCCTTTAGATCTAATTATAAACTTCTAAAAATC